CAATCTGTGATTTCCATCCTTTAAGGGGACTAATAACATCACGAAAAACAGTCAGGACAATGATAGCAATGACCTGATTCACATGTCTGTCTAATGGGATGACTAAACGGCCAATATCTTTTTTAAAGATCAGTCTCAAGCATGAGATGTGAAAGCATTTTTACTGAGCATCAGTATAAAAACACCGTTTGAAATAAAGATGTTTATCCGTATTTTGGATGTTTTGCCCCAAATTCATGCATTTAAAGGAAAACCAATATCAGTTTAATTAGACTATTTTATAGTAATGAAAAAAAATATAATTCTAATTATCGAAAAATTACATCTAAAACATCCCTCTTCGCATCAGCGCTTAAATATTTAGCGCATGTACCTGTAAGCTGTATATGTCAAATCTTCAAACACAATATCATTCTCATCATACAACCATCATGTGATATCAGCATCACTTTTGAGCTATTATGTCGTCATAGTAGAAAGATATGACGTCATGACAAAATATAAAGCTCCATTTCCATTGAATTTCTAGGTGACTACAAAGAACAAGTGATACACAATTTGGTTCTTGAACGGAAAAGTAAATGACGTTCAAAATATGATAACTTATGAAATAACAATATTTAGGTTGACACGACAGATGGTAGTTTTTGCATACGTGCAACCGATAAATAACTGTAGTGTTTCTCTGAAACAAACGTATTATATATACGCAGTGAAAAGGCCAGATTTCTAGGCTTCAATTCCAGTTAAACAACTCTTTAGGCCAATCAGCTTGCAGCACACATACAACTTAGTAACATACCTCAAAGTGATTAGTACACCACTATTTGTGTGCATTAGAACAATGATTACTTTAAGCTCACCATTTGTGAAGACTATAGTGGCAGCTGTGTTCATGTATAATAAACTCACATCTATTTTGAGACCATGCCTCAACCACATAACCAAAGAGTAATGGGCTCTATTTTGTATTAATGTCTCTTAATAGAATATTAAGATATTATTGAAAGGCGTATATATTCACCCAATCAGGTGATACTCTGAAATGAAAACAAAAGCAAAAGTAAGAATTTACAATGTGTATCTTTTTCTCCTCAGAAATGTAAACAAAAGCAAAAGTAAGAATTTACAATGTGTATCTTTTTCTCCTCAGAAAAGTAAACAATAGCAAAAGTAAAAATTTACAAAGTGTATCTGTTTCTCCTCAGAAATGTAAACAATAGCAAAAGTAAGAATTTACAATGTGTATCTTTTTCTCTTCAGAAATGTAAACAAAAGCAAAAGTAAGAATTTAAAATGTGTATCTTTTTCTCCTCAAAAATGTAAACAATAGCAAAAGTAAAAATTTACAATGTGTATCTTTTTCTCCTCAGAAATGTAAACAAAAGCAAAAGTAAGAATTTAAAATGTGTATCTTTTTCTCCTCAAAAATGTAAACAATAGCAAAAGTACAAATTGACTATGTGTATCTTTTCTCCTCAGAAATGTAAACAAAAGTAAGAATTTGCAATGTGTATCTTTTTCTCCAATCTTCAGAGATCCATTCGACTTTTCATTGGATATCTTGGCTTAGAAAATGACGAAAAATTACACACAACAACAGTAAAACTCGGAATGTCTGGCATTTTCTCCTGGTTCCAATGAAAACCATAACAGCAAGTAATATTAACCGGTTTGCCAACAGGTTTCTGATACTTACATAACACATGCATGCTTGATCTCTGAATCAACGAATGTACCCATATATGATCACACGTACCCATATCCATTTGTGAGTGAGTATGATTTTACGCCGGATTCAGCAATATTCCAGCAACATCACGGCGGGAGACACCAGAAATGGGCTTCACAAATTGTACCCATGTGGGGAATCGAACCCGGGTCTTCGGCTTGACGAGCGAACACTTTAACCACTTGGCAACCCCACCGCTCCTCCTTTCGTGAGAGTAGGTCGCTGTTGAAGATGTCATACGTTTAGATTGCTGTACATATTTGATATTTTCCTTGAGGGTAAAGTTCATGGTTGAAAGGACTCATGATCAATCTATCCTGGTGCTTACAGCTTCACACATCCCACAGATTTTGCATACTTTTTTCTGGCAGGTAAATTCACTATGGGTATCCTTTGCGTTGGGGTGAGTGAGTGAGTTTAGTTTTACGGCGATTTTATCAATATTCAAGCAACATTACAGCAGGGGACACTAGAAATGGGCTTTACACATTCTACCTATGTAGGTAATCGAGCGAACGCCTTAACCACTAGGCTACCCGCTGCCCCTTTGCGTTTGGACTGGACTAGTTTAATTGACACCATTTACGTCATGACCTAAGGGGAGGACTCTGACCTGATTAAGTCAGAAAACGAAGGCCTCATAATGGCATGACATTACACACTTATTTTCAGCTTCCCTGTGACAAAATGAGTTTTATGCCGGAAAAGAGTTATTTTTTTACACCTCCCTTTAACCGAGTGTTCGTCTCAGTGCAAGGGCTTTGGCATTGCTGATAACAGTACTGGAATAAATCTGTCACTGACTTCACGAAAATATCCCTAAATATCATCGCCCATTTGTTTTAGAGTAGATTGGTATAACATGTATCCTATATAATGATATTCTCAAAATATTATCCTGAGATGATTATTCGTTGTTTTCATAATTATTAATAAGTACATGTCATCCTTCATTAATTTAAACAGTACAAATAATATAATACCAGAAACGCAGTGTTATAAATGCGATCCATTTCAGAAACAATGATGAAAATGTGCACAGTGAACATAGACATATGCATAAAAATATATTAACTTTCACTTTTACTACTTTCACCAATAGTTCAACAAAACACGTGCGACTAGTATAACATATACGTTACCATCATACAAAAACATTTTGGTTGTTTTTTTGTCACAGTGTATTATGTTACTTGGCTATCACCATTATGTGAAACGTTGAAGTGACTTCACGTACAAGTGAACTTCACGTACCGGTGAACTTCAAACCACCTGAATTGCATGCCATACAATATTAAAAATTAAAGCAGTATAAAACACTCATTCATACTTCAAAACGACATACATGTATATACATTTCACTATCTTCGCTCCAGATTACACATTGCATTAAAACAGAATAATTATAAACGAATATACTATATCAACGAAATAAACTCTGTCAAAAAAGAAACGCAACCCCTGTATTTTAGAGATTTTGATCTGAAGTTTTAGGACGACACGGCATTTTTATTATTTAAGACAGAAGTCTGAAATTTGGCAGAATAATAACCCAGATGGGCATGTTTAAAATTGTCATTTCAAAAGTCATCTCACAGACACCAGTTTGTCACCAGGGGGGCGTCTTTCTCAGTATCTCGTATGAGCACCACGCGCTGCAATCACTGCACGGCATCTCCTTGGACAAGAACGGATAAGACGCCGGATTCTTTCCTGGGGAATGGCTCTCACTCCTCCTGCAGTGCAACGGCGAGCTGTTGCAGCGTCTGTGGCGGCGGCTGACGTTGACGTACGCGTCGATCAGAGTATCCCACAGGTGTTCAATAGGGTTGAGGTCTGGTGATTTAGAGGGTCATGGCAAGACATTGACGTTGGAATTCTGCAGAAAGTTCATTGTTGCACGTGCAGTATGAGGCCGGGCGTTGTCCGTTGAAAAATCTGTGTCTGTTGGTCAATAATCGGGAGAAGGTGAAGCTCTAACACGTGGTTGATGTAACGTTGGGCTGTCAGGTTCCCTGGAACGATCACCAAGTCTGATTTCTGGTTGTATGAGATGGTTCCCCAAACCATGACGCTTTCTCCGCCAAATCTGTCCACCTGTCGGACGCAGATGGGCGCAAAACGTTTATGACGTCTCCTATACAGACGCTGTCTTCCGTCGTGACGTTGCAAAAAAAACGTGATTCATCAGAAAACCAGATTCGCCTCCAGTTTTGTAAAGTCCGTATCCTTACGTTGTTGCACCACCTGAGTCGTCGGCGTCGATGTAGGGGCGTAGTACAGGTCCAACAACTGGTCTACAGGCACGTAAAACCGCTTCTTTCAGACGGTTCCTAATCGTTTGAGCTGACACTCTCCTCAAACCTGGTATTTGTGTGGCAGTCACGGTTGGTAGGGCATGCCGATTACGCAGGTGATGGACCCGGATGTACCGATCTTGAAGGGGTCGTGATTCTTGGCCTTCCACTTCTCGGGCGATCGTTGGTCAAATTGAAGTTGTTGTAGCGGCTCCAAAGTCGGGATATCGTTGTTTTGTGAACATTTAGGTGCCGTGCAACAGTTCCAAAACTTTCTCCGGCGAACACGACCAATGGCGATATTTCGGTCGGCAGCACTCAATCGTGGCATTTTTAACACAGCTTTTCGGCGACAAATGAATGAATATAATACGGAAGCTTACATGGGCTTTTATACACCTACATTAACTGCCATTTTCATGATTTGCATGTGTTTTTTTTGTGCGAAGTCACCATGAGGGTCATTTCATGCGTTGTGACGGAATAAGCAATAAAATACACTTATGCGTACAAATGCAGTTGTTTGGATGGTAATCTTCATTAATTACGTGTATCATTTCAATACATTCGAATAAAATTTAGTTTGGAAGCAATAACTTCATTCAAACGAATTTTTCATATCTGAGGACAGGGGTTGCGTTTCTTTTTTGACAGAGTTTATATTTAACATAAATCAGCATTTTGCAACTGTGTAAATTCTAACTGCACAGTCGACAAAATAAATATTATTTCAGATATGCATTGGGAGACGATAGTGTGCGACTCTGGCATTAAATACAGCTGGGCCTAATAGTGTCCCCTGACATCGTCCCCTCATGTCTTGCAATAACAGGACCTTTATCATTACGGGATTTGTTATCACCGAGCATCTTCTAAATATCAATAAGACTTACATCGTGTGTATTTTCTCCCGCATTCTAAGTGTAATAAGTTTAGGTACGACACAGGTCCATCACAATGTATTCAACGGTTCAGCTGGTTATCTTTGACGCGTGGCTGCATCAAAAGTAGAGATTATCAATGGGTAACTTAAACATTCTTTGGAAACTAAATTTCCGATGCAAGACGGATCCTATGTCCAAGGAAACAGAACTACCACGCTGACACTGACTGTTTGAAGTAGTATTACAAGTGCATACAATGTGCGATAGCTTAGAAAGAAATTCTTCGAATTTCTGAAACTGTAAATCCTCGACTATTCGGTGTGCATATTTCTATTCTATTTTGACAAATTAACCTGAACCCTCACAGTTCCCCAGAGATTCAAACAACGCTAACTATATATATAGTTATACAAAGACAACCACCAACAAGCGAGAAATATGTTATCAATGATTTTAATTTTGATAAGTCGGACTCATATAAGGAGGTAATTATTTTCAGAAGAGATCATTTCAAATTATCATTATGAAAGGTTTCGTGTAGCTTGCATTTTTTAAACGAGGTTACTGTGGCTTCATTAATCATGATAAAATGGAAATTGAGATGGAGTACACTTGGTCTAGATCCTCTGTATCTGTATACCGTGTAGGCTACTGACTGTGATGTCCACTGCAAATGATTCAAAAAGTCAAACGAAGACAAAAGCTTGAAACAAGTAAACACTGAAACAAACAAAAAAATACACATTTGTCGATATGGTCGTGTCAGAGTCATGTTTGGTTTTGTTCTCATTCTCCAAACAACAGGATCGAACTTCTTCAAGGTGCCAAACCCACGATTGTCAAACGTGATATCTAAGCACATTTGTCTTAAGTTCACTGTATTTCCGATGCTGAAGTGTGGTAGCGATGTATTGATTGTCTTACTCATAACACCAGCATCGTAGTTTGCCCTGGAGGTTTGGGTTTGTTGGGGAAGTGGGGGCACGGTATTGTGAACGCTACAGGCTATACGGTCGTAGCTCTCAAGAAGGTGAAGGTTGTGATTACCTGTGTGCCAGTAAGACAAGTCTGTTGGTAGGTCATGGACATTAGATGAGATACCCAGGTAACTGGAACAATCTGGAATATCCTGGGCACATGTTGGATAAATTCATTTCGCCAAACGTAAAACATTACTATTTGTCGAAGTAATGAAGTAAGGTGAAGGATCATAGCACTGAGAAGTCGCATGTTTCTCTGTCGCTTGTTTCCCAATCTCTAGAACAAAGTCGTGTCTCGATTCATTGGTTAAATTAGCGAAGGTAGTTTTCCATCTCGTAAAGTTTTGACACTGCAAGCCATGGTTTGTGTCTCCCGGAAGAAAGAAACGAGCCACAGTAACTCTTCCACTCTGCTATAATACATTACATGTCTTGCTTTTGTGAATCCGTTTCTTGCTCCTCGATCCGGGCTTTGATGACGTCACTGACCTTTCATTTACGTCAGAGTTCGGCGTCGTAGCTTTTTCCGAAGACGTCACTTCTTCATTATCCGAACTGAAGTCTGTGTCAACTAAGAGGGTTGTGTAGTCGTCGTCTGGTTCCACAACCCTGCGGTTCTTGTCCCCCACGAGGAAATAGGTGGTCATCTCACCTTTACCCTTTACCTGAATCCGTCCGCGTTTCTTTAACTGGTAGCCGTTGTTTCGTATGCATCTGGAAATAATGGTCGCTTGATTACTACTAGTAAATATGTGTGTTAGTAGGCTTCGAGAACATACATACCAAAATATAACCATGATGATATTATGATGAGAATCACATTGACTGAAACCATACTCGAGTTTTGTTTAACAAAACAATGTTTCAGTTATGTCACTGTTTTGTTTGCTTGGGTGAGATTAACGCTGCACTCCAATATTCCAGCTATATAGAGGGTGGGGGGAGGTCTGGGAAATGGCAGCGAGAATAGTAGCCTACTGATGTGAAAGTTCCTTGTCAGCGGGAGAAAATTATGAATCCTGTTCATCGGAAGGGAGGGAAAGATCCTGGAGAAGAGGTTCACGAGGAGGAGGTGTCTGTTAAAAATCGAGTCTCGACCACAAAATCCAGTGATCAACATCATGAGCATCGATCTACGCAATTGGGATACAATGGCATGTGTCAACCAAGTCAGCCACCTGAAGCGATGCCGATATTCGCCTCCTGCGACAAGCATGGGTTGCTGAAGACCAACTCTAACCCGGAAGTTCACGTTTATTGAATTGCAAGGAGAGCAAACTATCTTAAGGATGTTTAATGTCTTGGTGAAGCCAACGATCATAGGTAAGAGGGTGATAATAAGTCAAGCAAGACTTAAAGACAAGAATATACGTAACCTACGATTAGCGTATCCTGGCAAAACTAAAGGACGCAACACTGATGTGGATTACACAGATTTTAGATACAGTAAACGAACACACCTATAACGAACTGACGGGTATGTCGGAGTTGTTTTTGGCCCCGACCATTTGCTGCATATTTTCGTCGAGATTCGTTTAACGAACTACAAAAATTAAACGATAACAAACCAGTGGTCCCTCTGAGTTCGCAACTACAGTAGGGTGCTGTACAAATAACGAATAACGAGTAATGTAATCACAATATGCACGACATTGTTCAACAAATACCTTTTTCTTTCATACCCATTATAGAGAAAAAACAGACATAAAGACTGTATTTGTTTTAATCGATTGAGGCAATATTATTGATTTACTTAATTATTAATATAATTTACATTTCTGCGAGTCAGTAGTTTGACCCAGAACCTGAGAAATATAGACTTGAACTCGACAAAATACGTTAGGTTTTTTATCTCATCTTTTTCAATAATCAAACTCCGAATAAACTGAAGCTCCTGAATCGCCATATGACACTGAATCCAAATGTCAACTGTTCCCAGCTGAATAGTTTACAAACATAATTCAGTTTTAGAGGGTCCAGGAACTTTTTCATGTAGTTTAAAATATACAAAAAAACAAGTTTAAATATTGCAAAAGTAAAATCATTATGAAAAAATACCTTATTTCTTGTCCGCGCGTGTTATACTCAAATCATAAAAAAAATCCAAAATGATCGACTTCGGAGAGAAGTAACCGATCCAAACAGAGTATTTTTACAAAACATAATGAAAAATTGCACCGGTTAACTAACGAATAAACGCCTCCTTTACATAGATGAAATATTTTGTCACCGTTGTACCTGTATGTGGTGGGGCTGACGTGGATCCTACCCGGGACGCCGTGACTCTCCATCCTGGATGCCGTGTTGACGCTGTCTCCAAACAGGCAGTAGCGGGGCATCTTCATCCCAACGACCCCTGACACCACGGGGCCTGTGTGGACCCCCACTCGGATCTGGGGGGAAACAGGTTACTTCCTAGTTTATTTGCTGCTTATCATTAACTATTCAATATTAGAGGTATATGACGCCGGAATGTTTATAATCAAGTCTGCACCAGACAATCCGGTGATTGATTATGTAAGCAACGACCCCCGCTGTCGGGATATGATGCAACCCAGTTACTAGAACAATGTTACCGAGCCTGACCACTCGATCCCGTCAGTAATTTCCTAGTTTGTTGTTTAACTTATCAATATAACAGGTGTATGAAGGATAGTCAAGTCCGCACCATGCAATCCAGTGATCGATGTTATGACCAACGGCCCTCTGTCGCGTTACCACCACCGACCAAGTTGATCCTAGCCACGTGGTCCGTTTGTGTTGTTTGTTTGTTTGTTGTTCAACGCCGCACTCAGCAATGTTCCAGCTGCAGGGCGGCGGTCTGCAAATAATTGAGTCTGGACCAGACAATCCACTGATCAACACCATGAGCATCGATGTACGCATTCAGGATACGATGACATGTGTCAAACAAGTCAGCGAGTCTGACCACCCGATCAGTCGCTTCTTCCGACAAGCGTGGGTTCTTGAAGATCAATTCTAACCAGGATCTTCAAGGATCTGAAGTGATCCGTTAAGATCCGTCAAAGATATACGGCTGATGACCAGTCCCTAACTCAGTTGCCTCTGCAAATCAGTGATCAGTAGCCATCCTAACCGTTGGGATACGGTGTCACGCTACCATCAATCACTGGGCCTGTCCCCTGTTCCTCGTGCCATCAGCATAATTTTCTGGGGAACAATTTCAACCCGGAATCTTCATGTCGGACCAGATGCCACATGGACCGCCTCAGTGGTGTAGTGGTTAGAGCGCCCGCCCGGAGAACGGAAGGTCGCGGGTTCGATCACCGACCGTGTCATACCAAAAGACGTTAAAATATGGTACTTGTTGGTCCCTGCCTGGCGCTCGGCATAAATGGGTACAACAAGGACTGGTCGGCTCGGAGTCAGTATAATGTGTCTGAGTGGGGTATTCATGCTTAACTGCGGCATGGTATCTCAGTGGGTTAGCACTATAACACCAGCTTACGTCTGGGCTAGTACAAGCAGCCGCACATACACATACACATACACACGCATGCACGTCGTCATATGAACGAAATATTCTCAAGCACGACGTTAAAACCAATTTCACCTCACCTCACCTCCAGATGCCACATGGGTATCGTGACCAGTATGACCGTCACCTGGATCATCAACATTGGATAAGTTCTGTTTCACAGCACCGGCAGCATTATAATACAATTCTCATGTTCATTAATAAAAAAATATTTAATTTTCTTTCTCATCACTGTTATTCAAACGCAACGTTTTTTCGGTGGTTTTCACTGGACCATTAGCAGAGCTTGGCTTGAAGTCCAAGGGCTAATATGGTAATCATGACGTGAATGCACGATCCATCAAACACCTTCCAGGTGGCTTTGGTGATATTCTTCCCAGGGAGCTGAGAACGTAATTTGAATAAAAACTTATCCCAGGCGATTTGATCGTCGCGCAGGACCAATCATCCGGGGGTGAACTTTTGAACGCGTTTGATTATTTGAATTTCAATGTCAATATCACAAATTTATTTATAGTACTGACAATGTGTATTAAAAGTTTCACTTCGCAATTGCCAAATTTGGGATGCTTAATGCTGACAATTTTAACACATTGTAATTGGTCATTTTAGTTTTCCACATAGGTGTCAGGAGGCCGATGTTTGAATCGTGATTTTCGGTAATTTACATATTAGCAACTTTAATTAAGAAAACACATACGTTTTTTAAACAAAGTGAAACAGACTGTAAGAAGTTTTCAAACTTTCCACTTTCGGAATAATTCTATATCACTTTTGTTATGGTTCCTACCTGTAAAGGCTTCCCAGTTGCAGGGGAGTTGACTGCTGCGGCTCCCTGCACCATATCCATGGCGAAGTCGGCGACGGACTTTGCGTGGTTGGTGGACGGCTCCGGGACTCCACTCACTATCATGTAAGCGTCTCCTATGGTTTCCACCTGAACACAGAGTTCGATTCTAGTTGGTTTGGGTTTTGTTTGTCTGTTTGTTTGTTTGTTGTACTTGTTATTGTTTTGTTTTGTGTTGTTGTTTTGTTTTGTTTGTTTGTTTGTTTGTTTGGGGGGGGGGGGGGTGTTAGTGCATGAATGTGGTATCATGCATTCAGGCAGGTCCCCGAGTGAGAACCCAGTTCCACAAAGCGGGTTTTATGGATTTGGATTTACTTCCTATCCTAACAGGAAAACAGGTAGCTCCGTTTTCAGAGGCGCTGCAACTCATCGTGCAGAGTGGTGTCCCTTTAGCATACAAGCCGCCTGTGATCAAGGTTTCGTTTGTTTTGACAGACAACAAACCAAAGACCAATCCTGGATTCGAACTGCACAACAATTTAAGTAAACTCTCAATCCTTGACGAGTCAAAATGTCTTACAAATAGATTTGCTGCAATCAGAACTGATGAGAAACCATGACTGAAGTCGGTTCAAAGCTGAGATATTTCCTAAGTTATTCACAGCGAACAAGATCCTAGCATTTGAGCGTTTTTACCTCAATCCAAAATTTCACAAACTTTGGCGTTTGGCTTAGCATCCTACCAGCACACTTGTCACACATTATTTGTGATACGACCTGACGTACTGTCATTTCAAGATTTTATCATTTTAAGAAAATCAAATTTGCTCCCCATTAAAAGCCAGCTTTGCGACCGTTAGCGCCTTTTGGAACGTGAGGGTTGTTTTATTAGATTACTGACTCTCACTCTGAGAATTGGACACATGTGATTGATCATGGTAATAGTAGAATGTTCATCTTTACGAGCAGATTTCATTCCACAAAAACATTTTTTAAATAATCACCTTTTAAGTGTCATCTTATGTCAGTGTGGGAGTTTGACTTGATGCATCTAGGTCTGAACGTCACTCTGCCTGGATGTGTCAAAATGGAATGAAAGTTTTGGTTTTCTATTTCATCTCAGAAGTTGCGTAAGATGATGATTTCAAGGTATTCGAATAAATATTTTTACATTGCTTTTAGTATATGTTGCATAGGAACCGTGTCGAAACAACACGAATGGGTTTTACATATTGCTCCCATTTGGAGACTCAAACACGGATTGATGGCGTGATGAGTAAACCTTTAACAACGCAGCTTCCCACCACATTTAGGTTTGGACGAGTGAGATGTGAGTGAGTGAGTGAGTTTAGTTTTACGCCGCACTCAGCAAGATTCCAGCTATATGGCGGCGGTCTGTAAATAATCGAGTCTGGACCATTCACTCCAGTGATCAACAACATGAGCAGCGATCTGCGCAATTGGGAACCGATGACATGTGTCAACCAAGTCAGCGAGCCTGACCACCCGATCCCGTTAGTCGCCTCTTACGACAAGCATGGGTTACTGAAGATCAATATTCTAACCCGGATCTTCACGGGTAGAGTGAGCTGAGGTGTGAACACAGGGGAACAGTACTTCCATTTTTTGGCAAATGTTGTTTACCGGGTGGTACTCGTGGGGTAGGTGAGATTGGGTTTAGTTTTACATGTTATGGTATATCTTATGAGTCAGTGAGTGAGTGAGTATGGTTTTACGCCGCTTTTAGCAATATCTCGACAGGGACACCAGAAATGAGCTTTACACATTGTACCCATTTGGGGAATCGAACCCGGGACTTCGGCGCGACGAGCAAACACTTTTACTACTAGTCTACTCCACCACTATCTCACGGCTATCTATATCTTTACACCAAAACTAAAAATATTTTGTTTCTGAGGATAATTTAGACTGGATTCTGTTTTACACTGACGTTTTACATTTAACATCGGCGCATGTTGGAGCGGGATTTCAATTGTATTATAGTATTCAATAATATTACAAAGCTAGGTGAATCAGGACGAATTCCTTTAAATCGTTGATGCCGCAGATTCACAAGTTCCCCTAATAGTCTTCCCGGGTGTGTTAGCGCCATATGTCATTTCCGCCCACACCATGGGTTAGTGAGTGAGTTTGGTTTTACACCGCTTTTAGTAACATTCCAGCAATATCATGGTGGGGGATACCAGACATGGGCTTCACACATTGTACCCATGTCGGGAATCGAACGCGGGCCTTTAGCGTGACGAGCGAACACATTAACTACCCCACCGCCCTACCCACACCAAGGTGGCTTTTTCTACCTTGTATACATCATGGTCGTTTGTGCTCTTGTCGAAGCGGTGGTAGAGGGTGTTCAGCATGTTGACGATGTCCAATGGCGTGCAGGCTGCAGCGATGTTGGTGAAGGTAACGATGTCGCTGAACAGAATTGTCACTTGATCGAACTTTTCTGAAAGATAAAATAACCATGACCAAGATGTTTCTGGCGAGATCAAAGAAGCAGTAAAGAATGTTCACTTCGGGCTTTCTGTAACCACATCTATTACTCCGGGTCGATGCTCATGATGCTGATCACTGGATTGTCTGGTCCAAACTCGACTATTTACAGACAGCCCCAAATAGCTGGGTTATGCTGAGTGCGGCGTTTTAAACAACAAACAAAACTTACTGAGTAACGATATAGGAACACCCCTTAAAGGTCTCGTTAGGAGAACCCTTAACTACCCAGACTATACGAAGAGTTGCCACAGGTCTTGACCCAGTCAGATTCACATTTCTAACATTAATTGGCATCATTGTAATATTATTTCTACCTTTTAAATCGGCACAACTAACTAGTTTTTGCGGGAAATGATTTGGTGTTCAGCAACTTAGAGATGACTAACGGGACCGTGTCAGACTCGTTGACTTGGTTGACACGTATCCCAACCATCCCGCGTAGATCGATGCTCGTGATGTTGATCACTGGATTTGTCTGGTCCACACTAGATTATTAACAGAGCTCCTCCATGTAGATAGGATATTGCTGAGTGCGGCGTTTAACAACAGACAGATATATAAATACAACAAACATATGAATATACAAGCACTCGCATCCCGTTGGGTCTCATGTAATATGATCCTGTAAGATTCGACTCCATAGGGGAAGGTGGTCAGGCTCGGGGATTCGATTGTATATTCATAATATCGACAACTAGTTTATCTTTCCAGATTCGATTATTTAAAGGTCAGTGTGATATAGCGTAGAATGTTAAGATTTCGGCTTAAAAAAGCAATGAATTTGAAGAATTTGTGACAAATGCTAAGGCTGTCACTATTTTTTTCCCATTCCCATCTATCATCCGCATAAATTTTTACATGAAATAAGAAAAGTCCTCATATCAATTTCCACCGTCCCTGTGGAAAGTTATGGCCTGATACGATGAAATATTAATAATCTTATAATTACCCTGCACACTCAACAAAAACAGGTTATCCAGATCTTTCTTCATAAATTCATTATATAATTCATTTCATAAATGTTTTTAATTATATGTTTTAATTATATGCTTTCTTTTTTTCTTTTTTCACCCACCACTTCACTTAAAGGTTGGGGCTGGAGATGAGAAATACCTTTAAAATACGGATGACATATTACAAGCTGCACAGCCATGTTAATTATTACAAAAAGGAATCTAGGAACATCTCCATAGAACTAGAAAAGACATATTATCATCTCTAGTTCCGCATCAATCAGTTAATCAAACATAATCTCAACACATGAGAGTCAAATATCCGCAGATGGGACGTGTTGTTGACAATTCAAACTCCACTATCAAGCAAATGTGTCATATAGCATGGAATATTTTGATTTCGGCTTAAAAGAGCAATTAAAGAAACGTTTGTGACAAATGCTAAGGCTGTCACTATTTTTTTCTGTTTCCCATCTATCATCCGCATGAATTTTTACATGAAATAAGAAAAAGTGCTCAATCAGTTGTACTCACAAAAACATAATCTGAACTCAAAGTAAAATATCTGCAGTTCGGACGTTCTTGTAGACATATTTAACTCCACTTCTTCAAGTGTCATTTAAAAGCTGGTATGATGAAGAGGAACACCTTTAATGGATAGCCAACGTCTTTAATTGCAATAGATGCAACGTTTCGGTGTAGATCCTAACACCGTTATAAAGCAAATAACACACAACATTATGCAGATGGAGAAATATATACATGAAGGGTGTTTGAATTTATACGGTGTTAGGATCTACACCGAAACGTCTCATCTTTGGCAATTAAAGAAGTTGTCTGTCCATAAAAAGTGTTCCTCTTCATATTAAACTCCATGCAAACGGTTGCCAAGCAATACATAAAGAAGATTTACCACAAACTACAACAGATAATGCCAGTATCAAAGCAAGACGTCATCGTCTAAAACGTTTGTGTCGGTAGATGTCGGGCGTTTTGTGGGATTGGCATGCGATATTATGGAATCAAAGCAGTGTTATGGAGCTGGCTTCTGAAGAAAAACATGGACTTAATTTCCTGAAACGCCCGTCGGCCATCACTCTCATTACCGTCTGCAAGGTGATATACGTTTGACACGCGTAATCCGTACATGCTGAACTCTTTCATCTTTCGCCTGAGAATATTCTTTCAACTCTAAACAATTTAATATGGCTGATATCTTAAAGTCAAAGGTAACGACTCACCTTTTATGTCTGTGTTTGCACTGAGTGCGATTTAGTATTACACTACATACAGATACATATACTCATTCCCAAAAGAAACGCAAACGTTAAAACAGAGAAAGGTGGCATGTGAGATTTGCATGATGGATGCATTTTGTACGTAGGACATGATTAAGTCTCGGGAGGAAACGTTAGCAACTTTTCCAAACGAATGTTTGAATGAGAAATTGTCACATTCGGCTGTCGAAAATGTGTCTTGGAGCAGCATTCTACGCATCTATGTGCCTGACCCGTATAGGTCCGGGTTAGAATTGATCTTCAGTATCCCATGCTTGTCGTGAGAGGCGACTAACGGGTTCGGGTGGTCAGGCTTGCTGACTGGTTTGACACATGTCATCGTATCCCAATTGCGTAGATTGATGTTCATGCTGTTGATCCCTGGATTCTCTGGTCCTGACTCGATTATCTACAGACGCCGCCATATATCTGGAATATTGCTGAGTGCTGCGTAAAACTAAACTCACTCACTCACTCTATGTGCCTCATGGATATCAGTGTCAATGTCAGTTCACCGATTCATCCGTCTCAGAGAAAAAAAACTGAAACCAATGTCGTCACGTGTGATGTCAGCCGTGTCGAGCATGCCGAATATGTCTAAACAGTCATGTACATATAGCCAATATTGTATTAGGTAATGTCGAGTATTCTCCACGTTACAAATGTACTGAACATGCTGACGTAAATGATTTTTATCTGTTTTACTTAAATCATTTCATATTCAATTCCAACAGAAAGCAATTAAATCATGTAGATTAACATAACAAAAATACTTACACTTAATACGACTTCTGTCTACGATATCGTATACATTAACAATAAAAGTCTCGCAATGAACACGATTTCAGCCACAAAAGTCTATGGTATCGTATACATTTGTGATAAGTGATTGAGGTGCATTTTACGCCGTAGATAGCAATGTTTCAGCAATACCATGACGGTGGACACAATAAATGGGTTTCACACACGTGAGGAATCGAACGTCTTCGGCGTGGCGAGCGAACGCATAACCACGATGCTACCCCTAACAAACATGAAAGACATGACTTCGGTCATAGCATCTGCGACTTCATTTGTCATAACCTTTTCCGAACAGAAACCAAGAGAAAAGAATCCATGTCAAGATCGATTATATGGAATGCAGTTCGTTAACATTTGGTCAATGGCATCTGTAATTGAGATGGACAACTTCCGTGTGTTGAAAGACGCAGCGTCGTAATGTAATAATGCCTTATATTTGACGTTGCACGAACGCCAGTTGCCGAATTAGCCTATTTCATACCTAAACGATTGCAAGAGTTTCTGTTTTCTAAAAGGCAACTTTAGTCTTTCACGGGATGTCTTTGAACCCAGCCAGAAACCTTCAACTACGACAGAAAATGTTCCACTTGAAAGAATGACAGCTTATTGCATCCTTCTGGCCGAGATAACTAGAGCCATTAGTCTGTTTCAAACACCTTCCATACTTTTTACACATGCGCGAATGTGATCGATCTTTCCGTTGTAGAAAATAGATCTGACTGGACGTGGCTCTTTCTAAAAACCTCAAACGTTAAACGTACCCATCTTAAACTCATTATTTTAAATTCTATGGATTTTGTTGTTTTCAAGGCAGGTGAAAGTAATTTAATACATGGGCCTTCAAGCGCTGATAATTACCAGCAGCAAGGACCAAATGAGATTATGGTGATGTATACATGCCGATGAATGGACGCCAAACTAGCTGTCTGTTCAAGGTTCTTATCTATAATCCACTTGGCTGATTCTATGGGAAATTCAATGAGCTAAGCATGTTTCTGTGCTAACATCATGCTGCAATACATCCATCCAATTGAAAGCATTAATGGACTAGTTTTGTCAGGGAGGAACACACGTATCGACCATCATCTCTGTGACTGATGAAGCCCCTATATATTACGTCAAAGTTCATTCACCAAATGCTTATGGGCCCACATTCCAGCTTTATATATAAAAGAAAAATTGTTTGTTGTAAGTTGTTTAACATCGCACCCGATATTCCAGCCGTGTGATGGCGTCTGTAAATATTCGAGTCTGGAGACTGGACCAGAAAAGTCTGTGATTGACACAATGAGCACCTATCTAAACGTTTGGGATACGATGACATGTATCAACCAAGTCATCGAGTCTGACCACCCGTTCCCGAATGTCGCCTCGTACGACAAGCATGGGTTGCTGAAAACCTATGCAGATTAGGAGAGTTATTAATATCTCCAATCACCAAACATTTACATAATATTACCTGCAGAATAAGTCCACAGGGTTTGCTAATGGTTAAAGTCGCTGTCTCCCATGCCGTGAAACTGCTCAAACATAATTTGCTCGTATAAAGTACATCGACTGACACTGAGCATACAATCAGCATTATAGCTACCACCGTAAGCTGAACCAGGAAGTCCTTTGTCCAGACAGATATAGTCATTGATGAACTTAATCTTCATCACTGTCTCACCTGCTTCCACCTGTCTGCCGTTCTTCAGCTGATTCGCCACCTTCTGCGGCAGCATCTGATACAGCAGCACATCCGTCTTCTGTTTCTCTATCTCCAACGCCTGCGACGTCCGCTTCAACGCTGCTGTTGTTTCGTCTAACTTCTTGCTGTAGAGATGCAATACACAGAAATCATAAGCCCCGTTTGCATTCCAAATACAAAGGAATAATGTCGCTTTCCACACTATGGTTTACCATAAGGCATTGTCATACCTTCGCACTGTCATAAATCCTTCACGTTCCATCAAGGAGAGCTTTTAGGGAATGTAATAAATTGTTACTCTCATCAATGTGGGGATACATTATGTCATGCAAGGCTGTGGAGAGTAAAAATGTCGGCGCGACTATCACTTTCTTGCTCAAAAGTTGAACGTAACAGAAACTGTTTGGGTGAGTGAGTGAGTTTGGTTTTACGATGCTTTTAGCAATATTCCAGCAACATTACATCATCACGGCCGGGGACACCAGACATTGGCTTGACACATTGTACCCATGTGGGGATCCCGGGCCGAACGCTTTAACCACTAGGTTACCCCCAGCGCCCCGTAACAGAAAGGGCTCAATGACGAATTGATATTTTTCAGTACTGATGACAACATTGCACATGCGGAGCAGACTCGGTCAGCGTTTGGCGTGATTGTAAGCGGCTGAAGTTAGCGCTCCTTTGAAACTCGGAGAATCGCTGGAAGCGATTGGCTGTTTGCAACACACTCGTTCTTTCAGAAGAGAACTCATGAAGTATTGTCGATGTTGTTAATGTTGACATGGGCGTGTGACTAAAGTCTTATTATCATCATAATCATCAGTTATAATTAAGATCACCAAGATCATCATCATCATCAGGATTATCACCCATGGAAACACCGGTTTGGGTATACTTCTCAAGCAACTCATGCTTGTCGTAAGATTGGATAAAATGTATTCGCATTCCAATCACTGGATTGTCCGGTCCAGATTCCATTACTGTCAACGCTCAATCATACATCTAGTATATTACTGTATACAATAAACAAACAAAATAACATTATAGACTCACGCTATATCTATCTCAGCTATCCTCTGTTGGTTGAGCAGCACAAGCTCGCGTGTGACGTCGTAAAGAGGGATGTCGGCGAGGTAGACGTTCATTTCCATGAGTTCGTTGAGGCTTGTGAGGCGAGGAGACCCAATAAAGATCATGTGATGGGAGGCATCCAGCCATATCATCTGTCCTGCAATATATACCACTGTGTACAAGATGTTCAAACCCTGAATCTGTGATAGATCAAGGTGACCTCTCAACAACAGATTGGTACTAATGTCCTTTTAGGAATATGTATTATTTATTTAAGTCAAGTATGATCCCTCCGAAGAACCCCGATGGAAACTAAAGATTCACAGAAGTCTATACTTAAACGACTACAATAATGACCGAGTACTTTACTATGTGTGACCTCAGTGATTGTTGGTCATTGTACCTGTTGATAAATTTTGTACACAGTTGCGGTAACATTGATGATAATTTGAAGCTACTTGAAGTGAATGACTTTCTTTGGAAGATCTACTTTAAAAAATCTGTTAATACTCATTATAAATCTTTGTCACACAAAACAGGTATTATGTAAGCATGGATGTATTACAATCTGACACCAGTGAACACGTTCCACTGTTGGTTCCCACTGTAATCCTAGTTTTCATCGTCAACAGATGAAACAAATGACATGTACAAATGTCTACCGTATCCGGCTATAAATGTGCATGTGTAACTGAACGTCCCTAATAACGTTTGGAGCGATATTTATCATAACACATTACCCCGCTAACGATAATCACAATTGGTGAAAGCAATTATGCTTTGTAAACTAACTCCATGTAGCGTTGCTTTCTTTCATTCGATGCTTAAATCAACACCAATGAATCTCACGTTTACTGTTGCCCAATCACAGTCTACAAGAATCAGACACCGAGGACAATAATCAGCCATCTAGGGTCTAATTATACAATAGTCTATGTATACATGAGGTCGCTTACCTTTAAGGATCAAAGCTTTGCTGTCACCTTCCTTCTCAGATTCCTCAGGGGACACAGTCAAAAGAAACACTGCATTGATAAACTTCTGAATGTTCGTTATGGACAGGTTCATTTTGGGGTGGATAATCCGAAACAGTGACGTAACCGCCATTCCTTCTCTGATAGGAACAGGGCACAGTTTGTGAATCATCACTCCACACTGTCGTATTTTCAAACATTCATCGAATATTATATGATATGGGAATGCTGAACAGAACTGAACAGCGCTGAGATGAAATGCTGAAATGTTTGTAGGCACAGCAACTGCTACGTTTTCGGGGGATAAACGTTCCTCTTGACCTTCTGGACTCCCGCGTTCATTTTCCAGCCCTTTGTGCAAAATGACCTTGAAGACCGTGTGCTCCTGGGTCTTACCGCCATCGATTACCTCCCTTGACTGCTCCTGAACTGTGATGTCCACCTTCTGCTTAAAGATGTCTCGGCCAACGGCTCGAACGGACCCTTTAATATAGGCAACGATGTAATGTCACTACCAGAAATAGGCCTAACACGCTGTACCCATATGGGAAAATTGAACTCCTACTTTCTCCACGAGGAAACAACGCTTTCACTACAACGCTTTCACTACCAGACTACACTCAACGCCCAAATGTGATGTAGGATTCTGACGTTTATCTTCCGTGAAATTCATTAACACGGGTATGGTGTTGACTAACCATGGGACCCACGGCAGTTATAATGATTGCCTGAGGGGTGGCTTCGAAAAGAAAATTTGAAATTCTATATTCGAATAGTGGTTAATGGTAACAGATGGGGCGATGTAGGCGGGTCTTGGGTAGAGCGGTCGCTCGTCACACCGAATACCCAGCTTTGATTGTGCACTTGGGAACAATGTGTGAACACATTTCTGATGCCATTGCCGTGATTGGTGCTAACAACTGCGTAAAAGCACACCAATGGTGACGCCTGACTGTGACCATTTATAATGCCAGTGCTCTAGTATTGCTTAACATTTACCTTCACGAACGACGTTACCCCAAAGATGTATGTAACATATTGGTGTATTTCGAAAACAATGGTCATTATATTTGGTTAGCCATAGTTTGTAACTTTCTAGATTCCAGTGCTTTTGTATACTCTGGTGGGGAAATTTAGTTTTATTCGGGGGTGTCTATGACGTCGCTTGTAGATGAATTTCTTCAAGACTTGATGTCAACAATAAACACTCGCACACAAAATGTTTTCCCACATTGACGGTTCAGTATTTACAAAGTAGTAAAAGTATATTTACGAAGTATATATTTTACATTACCCTGTTTTGCCCTTACGACAGGACAATGGTATACCGCAATGGATTGAGTGATGTTGACGCACGTTTCCTGTTTGCAATATGCATGTCGAAAATTATTATTTCAAATTGATCTGTAACAATTATATTGAGCTTCGCAAAACTTACCACTGATAAATTTACAATATTGGTACAACTCAGGAAGAAAACAATGTATGGTATGGATTTACAGCTTCTTTATTCTTTACAACACGACCTTTCTGGGCTGCTTCTTGTCCCTTCATCAGAAACGTTGTGCTGTAAATAATAAAGAAGTTGTAAACCCATACCATACATTGTTAGGGTGAGAAAGCCACAATAACTAGGTGCGCCTAGTGGCTGCAAGAGTTGTATACTCCCCAGGGAGTTGAGATTGATAGTACGATGTGCCATTGAGATTAACCTCCGATGATCGAGAGAAAAAATATCAGCGCCTTGAGCAAGCACTAGTTGCCTGGATATGTGCGCTATATAAATATCCTATAATATAATAATGTTACCTTCCAACTTCTAAATGCTCATCAAACATCTAACTCAGGAAGAAATATGAAACGTCTTTATGTTTATGACTATTGCATGTTAGGTATTACAGAATAATGATGAAACGGCCATGATGTGTTCCACATGCATTTCTTGTTTATGTTCAAGCCATTTCACAAATAAAATTTTGACTTGAATGTTTCTGTATATTAGAGTGTATATAATTATGTGATGTCTTTGAAGCATGCTCAAAGCCCTCTATTTGTACCAAGATCACTGTAACTGAGTGCACTCAGTCCTATTTATACTCCTAACATATTTTATTTATCAACACAGAGGTAAAATCAGAACCACATGTAGAGCCAAATACTAGTTACATCAAACTCTACTGGGGGCGGTGGGGTACCCTAGAGGTTAAAGCGTTCGCTCGTCGCGCCGAAGACCCGGGTTCGATACCCTGGGTACAATGTGTGAAGCCCATTTCTGGTGTCCCACGCCGTGGTATTGCTGGAATATTGCTAAAAGCGGCGTAAAACCATACTCAGTCAGTCAGTCAGTCAAAGTCTACTGAGGTTCAACAAAGCGATCCGAAATGACAAATTATCAACCTATAGCTAACACCGACAAGGTCATAGTGTATCCTTGTGGATTCTTCACGAGTACACGTGAAGATGATTCCTGTTGTCTCCCGCCGTTATTGAATACAAATACAGCACTGAACTTATGACAATAAAAGTGGGACGAATACATTTTTATTTAATTCGCAACAGAGGATGGGAGGGGTTTATTTTAATTGTTCGTTGTTTAACGCCGCGCTGTGCAATATTCCAGCTATATTGCGGCGGTCTGTAAATAATCGAGTCTGGACCAGACAAAACAGTGACATCATGAACTTCTCGCTACCGTTCCAGTGTACATATATCTGATATCAAAAGAGGTATCAGGTGAAATCCGCTTTGTAAATATAACTATGAACAGTATATACTCATCAGCGTTCATGTATGTTTGTTTATTGGTTATTGCTTAATGCCACACTCACTAATATTTCAGCTATAAGGTGGCGATCTGTACATAATCGCGTCTGGACCAGACAACTCAGTGATCAACAACATGAGCATCGATCTACGCAACTGGGATACGATGACATGTGTCAACCAAGTCAGTGAGCCTGAAAACCCGATCCCGTTAGTCTCTTCTTACAATAAGCATGGGTTGCTGAAGACCAATTCTGACCAGGATCTTCACGAGTCTATATAATGCGTGGAGCGGTTAAATGCCACCACCTGCAGCTACAATTTACGTTAACTAGAATCGTGAACATAACTGTCATCATAACAGTGACGTTTGACACAATTCTGTAACCCCCTGTGTTTCTGAAAGCCCATTCCAAAGATGCGCCCTTGAGTTCACCACAACGTGTCACGAGTCCTTCAAGCCAGTCTCTGTTTAAGTTCAGACGACAAGTCATGGAGAGATTTGTAAACAAAACGGCATCTCTGCCACATGTAGCGAAATAATTAAACGTCATTGTGACAATCTTGTTAAATGCAAGAGAAGCACTGCATTGATGTCAGGACAGCTGTGGATATATGCGTGATGTTTGCCTGCGATAGTCAAGTCATTGGACACTGTTTTGTTAACAAGAGGCCATACAGATACGTCGTTTTAATGTTACGTTAGGTTTCCAAGCGATGGAGCTTCAGTATTGATTGACTTACGCTTCAGTGCTTTGAGATTCAGCTTTTGACGGTGTAAATACTGCATTCTGAACAGAAAGAAAGTATGTGCCGTGAACCTATTTGTTAACCCCCCTGGCTGCCGAGTTTTTTTTCAGGCGCACATTTTCATACGGTTTGAAAAGTGATCGTTGTGCGAGAATTGCGCTCGCGTGGTCCTGGATCTACGTACGGCTATAAAATTACACAGAAATGTAGAATATTAAATTTCCTATCCGTTGGTATAAATATAAGTGCAACTACCTCGGCGGTTTGAGAAATAGACACTGCTAAATGTTGTCCAATTTTTTTTTATGCGTTAAAAAACAGTAATTTTATCCGCTTTTTATCGCGCACCGATAAAAGCACTGTGCTACGAATTTTTTAATGTGGCATCTTTACGGAAAGTGTTAGCGAAGAAAATACAGCTTGATATCTGAACGACATAAGTGTATATGAATTGGGTTTATGTGCTTGTGCATAACGTTATACGCTCAACATTAAAAATGACTCGCAATAAATGTCAAAAAATGGATTTTCTTCTATGACGTCAAACGACGACAGAGAGGTCATACACATATAATGATAAGGGGGCATAACTCCGTTATGCGTAACACTAGGTCCATGTAACTCAGATCATTTGGAGAGAATTTGTTGTGGATACGGACGCTATATTTTCGTTATTTTGTGTTCATGGTGAACCAAACTATCCCAATTCAAAGTTCCCCAATGTGAGCGGATGCAGTTTGGTAGTTTCACAATTTACAAGAAAAATGACAACGTATTACACGTGAAAGCACGTAATAGCGATTTGGATGGCCCTATCCGATACATAAGTTAGTTCTTAGATTCCCATATTGTCCTGTTTGTGTAGATGTATTTTGACTAATTTTGCATCGTTATTACCAGAGTACTAGCCATATCTTCAAATGTAATGAAATTGCTGAAATTAATACACCATTTTAGTTGACGTCATTGCTTGTTTTATGCATTTTGCGACGTCGGAAAAAGACGACACTGGTATGCTGTTTAGTACATATCTCACCTAATTTCCTTTAATTGTGTGAAAGGTTTCGGCTTCTATGTCAGAATTTAAGACTCTGTAGACAAAACATAAAATGACTGATTTTTCCATTTAAATAGTGTCCTGAATATATCAACAATTAGACAGTTTGACTGTGTATCTTTTTTGTGAGAAACACGCGCACCTGTTTGGCATCAATTTAACGTAAATGAAAAATAACATTTCACAACACCCGAATATTTTGTTTAGGATAAGAATTTTCTTTGTTTATGATTATGTAGCTATTTCTCTTCATAAGTATGCAATGGAAGATGCAAAAAGATAGCTTTTTATATATGGAACTAGTACGTACTATATATTAGAATATGGATGTAAGATTTGTCCAAATTAAGACATGACATGGTTTATATATTTTTAAACAATTTTCGTATAAATATAGTTAGAGTTTGATATCCTGTCATCACAATATTTTTAAATCGAATATGAATTGATTATATTATCGAAAACAATGATAGTGAATCATAAAACGTTTCCGACAAACGCGCACCTGGCCAATCAATTTACATCATTGTTTTCTCTATAAACCGACACACAAATGTGCAAAAAAACAAGACAATTCCTTTAAATGTGTGTGCATATACATTTCGTACCATATATAAATCATTTTCATTAATATTATCAGTTTTACTTATAAGGTTGAATTAAATCGCCGTTCATTAACCTGTTCATGTGAAACTGCAATATTAGTCCAAATGCATTGAATATTGTACATCATCGGAACTAACGCAATTGCAGTTATGGCTACGTTTGATCTTCTAACACTTGTGTAAAGGTTTAGAATATGGTGTTTTGCACTAAATATGTCAATTTCCTATGTAAATATGATTCAAACAATCAAAAACTTTCAAAGAATAAAACACCGTAAACCCTATACGCACGTATGATATGATATTGA